TTTCCGTTAGGACACACCAGAAGCTGCTAACGTAGATCTGAGCTGCAGTTCAAACCTCCACCAGCCACAGAGGTGTGTTACCCATCCATCTTCTTAGGAAAACCTTGCTGATGCTAAACTTTGCCCCAAACAAACGTGTTGAGTTTTCTCCGAGAGACGTAAAGCGTGTTTGCCTCTCCGAGCTGCTCCAGAGAAAAGGTTCCAGATCGAGCCACGTTAAACCTCTGAGACTGGAGGTAGGCAGTGGTAAATCCTCACCCCTGCAGGTGTCGTTTCATCTGAAATACGAGTTACTTTTGCCCGTCTGAAGTTACACCCTGAAACAAAAAGCTAGGATTCACTAAGACCCCACCTCCACCAGCCTGAGCTCCGCCCATTCATAACCCACAAAGCATCATGGGCCACGATGACGCAACAAATGAGAAGAAGGCGCAGATGCTCCGCCTATGCCCGCTGCAACCAAACGTGCATTCAGCAGCTGCGTCTCAGGCGGTTCAATTGTTGCATTGGGTTTGGCGGTACCGGGAATCGAACCGGTGTACGGTCATGGCAATGCAGCATGCAAGACAGGTGCTCTGTCCACAAACCCACCAACCCGTGTATGAGAAGCATTGCCTAGGATGCTGGCTATTACGTGCCTCCTCGTGGACAGGACGCACGTTTTTTTACGGGCAGTACCCGGGTGTCCCCAATGATCACCCGCCCACCCCCGGGTGAATACCCGCCATCACAAAGAGGATCTGCAGGGCGCCCCCTCCCCGGTTCGACGATCATCTTATCGGGGTGGGATGCAGAATGAAATAGCGCTTAGGGCACCATGTGGCCGGCGCCGGTCCGCCCCTGGAGGACCAGGATTGGACGCCAGTGCTTTTTAGTATTTGGCCTTTCTGCTTTTATTGGAATAATTCATCAAATCCAGTAAAAACTGTATTTTTGCCCTAATTATATTCTAAAACGTGGATTTTCGCCTAAAATGTAATGACAGTTGCTATTATTTTGAGTCAAACTGACTTTCCACACCCTGATAGCTTCTGTGACTACTAAAAGTCCGGGAAGCTAAAGGCACACTGCGATCTCACACACCGATGCGGGCCTGAAACCAGATCTCAGATTACAGGAAAGGGAAACGGAACGTTAACGCAGCACATCTGTGCTCCTAGCGGCTCCATCTAGCCTCTCTCTGCCTTCTGACTCCCGAGCGTCAGTCTCCTCCACAGATGACAACACCTGCCCCTGCATCCAGCCGGCGTTTAATTCAGGAAACAAAGGTCGGTGTCAGGTACGGTGGAGCCTCAGCTGGGCCACCTGAGCTGCACCTCTCCTGTAACACCATCTGCTGCAGGTCAAGCCTGCACATTATGTCCCACTAACCTCACACCGCCCAGCTACGCTAATGTCATCTGTCAGGTGTTGTCACAGGCGTAAACAAAAGGGGAAGATGTTGTGTTTTTGTGACCGGCTGCTGTCAACAAAGGGCCTGAACTAAAAATCTGAATATGACGGAGTACTGAACTAGAGCCGTTTAAGCTCCGGTTTAGAGAAAACGAGAAGAGAGTTCTGTTTTCAGGGAGTCTGTAGAAGTACTGGAAGATCCAACATTTCTCAGGTAAATCAGTGGAAACACCTCAAAAGGACTCTAAACAAGTGCTGCTTCAGCTAAAGCTTGTTTTGTTTTGTCAGGAGAATCCCACAAGGATCGCTTACAGAATGGTGTCTTTGTTCGGCTCCATCCACCCACCTGAGCCCAACAGAACCGCACGCTACAAGCAGAACATTTTCACGGCGGGTTTCTGAAGGATGCCGGTGCAGCTACTGCTCCCAATCCCAACGTCAGCGCTAGACAGTCCAAGCGAAAGTCCACGTTCTGAGATATAAACTGTATAAGAGGTTTAATGCGGTACCGGGTCCAACAAAATGTTAAAACTGCTACCAGTGGCTTATTGGATCACCATGGTAACCTCAGAGGAACACAAACAAAAAGTAAGTCCTAAACTAGAGACCAGCATTGGTCTAACACTAATCTCACAGGAGCGGGTGGATAAAATGGATCTGCAAGTTCCAGGACCATCAGTCAGACGGAGAACTGAGAACTAAGGAAGATAAAAAGTCTGATACATGGAAACGCTTTACTTCTGATATAAAAACGTGAGTCACTGAAAACCCATGTTTTCATTATTTATTCTGATTATAATCAGTCACTGAACATGAAAATAATCTCCTACACCTGTCTCCTGCAGTAGCTTCTGGTATAAAACAGACGGTGAAACTCTAGGATCAGAAAATCCTGACGGATCTACATCACACTGTCACTAACATTCATGGATTCGCCCATCTTGACTCACGACGGCGAAGGCTGTTGTTGGTTTAGCGTCCAGGAATCAGCAGAGAACGTCTCAGCTAGTAGAAGCCAACCGTTAGCATTAACAACTCCACCACACAGCAGAAGCTCCACCAGGATAAAACATCAACGTTGCAGAGCAAACAGAGTGGGGTGTACTCGTGTTGCTGTTAGCCAATCAGAGGAGAGATGTCCAAATACCAGGAAATAAGACTCTAGATCCTGTCGTCTGAAGCTACGTTCTCCTCCGGCTGACTTCAGCAGCGTCTTCAAACAGGAGCATCACAGGCAGGGGCGGATTTAGGACTGAAGAAGATCCGGGGCTTAACACACACACACACACGCGTGCGTGCACACACACACACACACACACACACGTGACACGCACTAGTCAACATCATCATATATATGTCTTGTACCACATAATGTTTAATCTGAAGCTACATATTAAGCATTTTCAGGGCAGAGTATTGTTCCTGTTAGTGTTTAGTGTGAGATGATAGTAAATATTCCCTTTCTTTCTCCATCAACTTTACCTGATAGTAAGCTAACTTTAGGCAAACCAGCAGCACAACAAATATTTTCAAATAAGACTCACAAACCTGAGTCAGCACCAGTCTCATCAAAGCTGGGGTTCTGTCGCCGTACTTTTGGTCTAAAAAACGTCCTTATGTCCATCTTCACTCATGCGTTTCAGGCAGAGAGTGTAGAAGAAGCCGGCTGCTGAAGGGCTTCTTCTTCAGTGGTGGAGGCTCAGGCAGGCTGTATACAAACTACTGTCAGCTGCTCCCTCTCTGTTGGACTTTGGTACTGCATGTTACTTCCACGATTTAGATCCGGGGCTTTTCATTGAGCATTCGGGGCTGCAGCCCAAGTAGCTGGGCCTAACGCCGCCCCTGACCACAGGTGTTTACTAACCCAGACACAGACTATTCATTCCCACTAGAGACCACTGCAAATGCATTCAAATACAAGTGAAGGTGACCTTTAAAGGGACTTTACGGACTTTTGAATTTTTATGCTCGCGATTGCCCCCTCAGGCCAAAAGTGTAACAGCAGCTTCAATAGTAGTCTTGTGCACGAGGCGCGCATGCTGTACGTGCACACTCCTTAACGAAAATAACAGCTGAGACAGTCTCTTGTGTGTGTGCGTGTGCGTGTGTGTGTGTGTGTGTCCCGGAAGACAGAGGACAGGAGAACACGCAGCTAATTAATTAAATAATTTGGTTCTGTACCTTTCTCTACAGCACAGCGACAAAGGTTTATGATGGGTCAGTCCTCCTGCATGCTCAGATCATTCCCTTCCCTTGCTTGAAAAATTGTTCCACAATGAAAGTTGAACCCACATCTTTTTTATCTGTGAATTCAATGCCGTTCGGCGAGTCTCAAATAAAAATTTGGGCATCTTAATGTAAAAAATATACCATTAATGTAAAAAAGAAACTCTAAATAAACTATGTTCACATCCAGAATCAAACCCAGGTCTTCTGCATGAGAGTCAGACATAGGTGACCTACACTCTAGTATCATTCACAGTATCTGTAACATTTATATCCTTGATGACAGCTGAAACAACGTCAAACCAAAGAACGGTTCGGAGTGAAAATGGCTATTTTGTTGCTAACTTGCAGGAAATATCTAGAAGAAAGTTCTACAGAAAGTAGCTAAGGGTCCTCAGAAATGTAGCTAGCTTTGTCACTAGGCGTTAGGAACAGCGACAAAGTGGCACTGCCTCTCTCTCTGCTGCTAAAGCTACGGATAGCAAATGCTACGGGCGATGCCTGAGCGTGAACGCGCATGAAGCAGCCTGCTCGACCCGAGCATCTCTCTTTTTCTGTGATTTTACAGAAAAACAGGCAATCACAGTAAAAATGCCAGGGCTCATTCTACAGGACCAGGGCATTGCAGGAGAATGTATGAAGAAGACATTTATTATTTCTATACATGTTTTGGCTGTCACACTTCCATAATGTCCCTTTAATGTCACTCAGTCAGTAAAAAGAAACTATAAACAAATTATATTTATGGAGAGGAAGTGGGTGGTTCTCAGGGTAGAAATAGCTCAAATATGCGTTACCTAGTGTAATGATGTTTGTTGTCATTAAGAGCGATCTGTAAATGTTTGTTCTTCCTGCTTTCTAATAACTTTATATTTTATCTTATTCAATTACTTAAACTAATTAAATGTATCAGTTATGAAGCTTTTGAATAGCCTTCTTACCAAATACTTTACTTTTTGGGTGAATACTTTTTACTTCTACTCAAGTAACATACTAAAGTTACTGAAGTAACTCTGTAGGTATTGTAACGCGTTTAGCATGAAGCCGGAACGTTCCTGGATAACATTAAATACATAAAATATTATCTAACACCTGTTGTTCTGTCTCAAGCTTCTGGAGGTTCGGCTGACCGAACCGGCCGAAACGGGACCGTTTCTGTGGCGGAGAGTCGCGTGAAGCGGGCGGAGAGGGGGGTCCACTCCCAGAACCACAACAGTGCGAACCGGATCAGAACAGAACCAGACATTCATCCGTCTGAGTTTTTAGTCCCAATCCAAGGAGCTACATGTGTTCTCATCGCGCCGGAGCAGGCGGAAGACGGAAAACAGCCGTTTCTCTCGCCATACCTCCGCTCTTGTACACAGAACCGAACCGAACCTTACCTTTGTACTGCAGCGAGGTGCCGGTTCGGATCTTCACGGCTCCGCTCATGGACTCTCCCGGTCCGTAAACCACCTTGTTGTTGGTGAAAGTGATGTTAAATTCCTGAAGCTTCCCCATGTCTCTCCGCTCCGTGACTGCGCTCCGCTGTGCGCGCGCGCGCGGCCTCACCTGCTGCTGCCGCTGCCTCGAGCCCACCCACCTCCGTAGAGGCGTGTGACGTCACCACGTACAGGAAGATTCGTCTTTTTTAATAGTTTTTAAATGGAGAACTAGAAAATGCAACGATGACTACATCTCGACACGAATGTTCAGTGCAACATGTTGAAGATGCAGACACCAGCAGCAACGTCATATAGGGAAACTTTCAGAGACGCGCGAGTTTACAAAGAGAAAAGAAAAGTAGGAGTTATGACAGTTCAAGAAAGGAAACACAGAAATAACTTACACATCACCAGTAGTTTAGTTTTCACTTTTAAACATATTCCAGATGCAGATCACATCTGCTCAGTTTCTTAATAATTACAACAGTTTGCACTATTCTTGTCAGTTCTGATCCAGTCACGATTTCTACTCATTTTGACTGAAATGAGGCAGACCTTTACAAGATGTCCCTCCCACCACCACTGAAGTCATTTTTTCACTGGAGCCCAATGTCAAGCAACAATACAAAGAGATGGTCCCAACAGATGTGCAGAACAGTCAGGGAGGACAATAACACCTTCAAATGTTAAAAGAGCATCATAAGAATATATCAACAAAACAGGCCATTAAAATTCAAGTTTCAATTCTATTCAATTCAAGTTTATTTATAAAGCGCCAAATCACGACAAGAGTCGTCTCAAGGCACTTCACATAATAAACACTCCAATACAGTCATTAAGCCAATCAGAAATAATGTTTCCTATATAAGGAACCCAGCAGGTTGCATCGAGTCACTGACTAGTGTCAGTGACTATACAGCAATCCTCATACCAAGCAAGCATGTAGCGACAGTGGAGAGGAAAATTCCCTTTTAACAGGAAGAAACATCCAGAGGATCCTGGCTCAGTATAAGCAGCCATCCTCCACGGCTCACACACACACACACACACACACACACACACACACACACACACACACACACACACACACACACACACACACACACACACACACACACGCACGCACGCACGCACGCACGCACGCACGCACACACACACACACACACACCAAGTAATGTTTCTATGGTTACACTGTGATTTCTTAAAGTCACCTGCTTAGGTGGGACTAAAAGCCAGCGCACACAACTCGGTCTTCAGCAGTCAAAGGTCAGTGCAGCTTCCTGTTTTAGGTCTTCGTAGAGACTTGACACTTCCTTTTCCTGAAGAACATCATCTATAATGTATACTGTGGTGCTGAAGGGCTGAAACTACATATAAAGCCAAAATCCAAAGAAACTCTTCAACAGAACAAGTGAAAATGACTGATAACCGACTGAATGATCAGTTTAGGTTACAGGAAAGTTTGAATGACTGCAAGAAAAATGCTTAAAAAGAGGGCGGTGGTCTGAACACTCGTTTACTCGTGTTTTTGTTGAGTTTTATTTGTTGTGATTGTAATTATCGGTATTGTATCTAAATATATTTATCCATAACAGTGTTTAGTTGTGAAATCGACCTGATTAAGATGCACACAAGCGTGTGAAATTCCTTGACATGGAGACAAGCCTTCATGGGATTTCCAGAAATAATGACTGCGAGAGGATGTAGCGTCTCTTCCACGGGACGCAGGGCCGTGAAACGAGAGTCATCCATCCAGGGGGTTCTTGTGGGTTTGATGGCCTGTTGCTGCGTCCTTCTGTCCAGTTTAGCGTGACGTCATAATCCGAGTCGATCCAGGAAAGGGAATCTGTGACGTAAGACTTTAACTGGAACAACATTCCGGTTTTCCTCCAACCTAAAGGGAACTGAATGATTGCACCAGTTCAAGAGAAAAGCACTTTAAGCTATAAAACATTCTTCATTCGTGGAAAGATCCCAGTTTCTGACCTACTTGTTCATAAAATCCCTCGGATGCAAAACACGAGCAGTAAAGCAAACGTAAAAGGATAGAAATAACTACTGGAAACGGTTCGATGTTAATGTTTGTTCTAATATTTACTGATTTATTGTCATTTCCACTGTGATTAATGTAGCACCGTTTTTATCCATCATCTTTTCTCTGGAAAACCGTCTGACTGCTGCTACGCCACATGTTGCTGACAGGACTTCCTGTTTGTCGTTGAACTTCCTCTCATCCTTGTTCAGAGCTGCAGGAAACTGATGGTGCATCCACAAACGTTTCTCAGCCGTGAATTTTCCACCTTTGGTTTCTCCATCGTAGTTTTGTGTTACTGTCGGTGAAAAAAGCAACAGAACGGACAGAAAACTAGCCTCCTTCCCCCATTTTCTGCTTTGTCACCTGATCAGCCTCCTGATAATCTTGGTAAACGTGTTTCCATGGTGACGGACAAAAACATCACTGTTGCCAAGTGACTGCCTGTATCCGTGGAGATCTGGTACTCTGTGTCATCAGCTGGGACTCGGGAGTTCTGCGTTTTATTTGTTGTGTTGTTTGTTTTGTTTACTTGCTCGTTTCAGAACGTTCCCCTCCCAGCGGCCGGAGCCACATTGATGCCGCAAGGCTGCAAGGTGGAGGATCCTACGTCAGTCGGGAATGGGATAAGATCCTGAAGCTAAAGGTCAGGAATGCCATGCATCACGCTGACGTCAGTCAGATCTGAAAGCACCATAAATGGATGACATCATTAATTCACTGATTTCTTATCAGATTACTCAGGAGTGATCTTTGACCTTTTAGCACTTAATGGTTTCTACACACAACAATCCATTTTACGCGTTACAGTTTTACAGGTGGGCCTAATAGATGAATGTGTTGTTCTCTCACTGATTACTCACCATGAGGTCACCTGCAGCAAAGAGCGTGCTGGGTAAATACCACCATCTAGTGGACAACTGAGGATTTACAGACTAGAATGCTGAGGAATTCTTTTCATATCTCCTACTTACTCTAAACATGTAAACGTCAGCGATAAATTTAAACTGGGCCTGGGTTTAGTCAATTTGTTCAACCCTCAAAAACAGGTGAAGAACAAACGTGAGCATCACCTGCAGTGAATGAACACTTGTTAATTGCACCTTTAAATATAGCTGAATAGCTGGCTATGCATCAATTAGCTGTCTTTAATGGTCTTCCCAACCAGAGTCAATCATTAACTTCTAAACATTTCATTAAAACGTATCAAGTTGTTCACCAGGAAAAATGTTGCCAACAGAAAAAGTTTAAAACCAAACATTTAAACAAAGATCTCACCTGGTTTGTGTCGCGTACGTTACGGCAATGGCTCTCAGCTTCTCGTGCACCAAATCTCTGGCTTAGCTTTGGTAAAGCTGACAGTACTATAGCCGTTTTGTTGTGCCTAATGATTGGCAGCCATCTTGAATAACGTGTTTTGCACTGGCTGACTACAAGGGGGCATTAATTCAAGTTCCTCACGTTGGAGAGGTTACATCTCCAATCTGGTCCGGGAACGCCTTGGGGTCCTGCCGGAGGAGCTGGTGGAGGTGGCCGGGGAGAGGACGGTCTGGAGCTCCCTAGTTGATATTCAATTTTTTTCCCAAGTTTATTTATATAGCGCCAAATCACGACAAGAGTCGTCTCAAGGCACTTCACATGATAAACATTCCAATTCAGGTCAGGTCATTAAGCCAATCAGAAATAACGTTTCCTATATAAGGAACCCAGCAACTTGCATCAAGTCACTGATGCTGCCCCTGCGACCCAGACCCGGATAAGCGGAGCAAGACGACGACGACGAGCAAGGATGCTAGGCCATTCTTTCCTCTACAGTGGCTCCAAATAGGGAGCCTAAGTCAGTTCCGCATCACGGGTCCCCGGAAGAAGGAAAAAATGAATGCAAGTGAACGGGCTAAAACGCTATTTTCTAATCCGCTTTGCTTTACGCCCTGCATCACACATATGTTGTACTGCAATTTAAACGAAAAGTAATGACGGGTGTTTTGACCACGCCAGTCCCAATCTAAAGAAAAATTAAGAACGATCAATAAAAACAAATAAAACATAAAACCATACAATGCTAAGTTAACACACGGTAAAACAACAGCAATATCAATCAGTTTGAAAAAGCCTGTGTAAATAAAAATGTCTTCAGATGTTTTTAAAACATTCTCCGAGGTGCTCTGAATGTTTCAGGGAGTGTGTTCCACAGGCGTGGGGCTGCAGCTCGAAAGGCTCGAGCTCCCATGCTAGAAGTTTTGTCCTGGGCTGTTGCAGGAAATGAGAATTTCTAGAGCGAAGATTTCTTGAGGTGATGTGGATAGTAAGGAGCTCTTTACGATAAATAGGAGCATTTCCATGGATACACCGATAGGTAAGGAGACCTTATTTGTATTTAATTCTATAGGGGATTGGTAACCAATGAAGAGACTTCAGTACAGGTGTGATGTGGTCATCCTTGTGACCCCTCGTCACAATCCTGGCAGCACAGTTCTGGATGCGCTGAAGTTTCTGTAGGCATCCACTAGAGATTCCAGTAAGTAAAGAACTGCAGTAGTCTAACCTAGACGAAGCAAAGGCGTGGATCAACCTCTCAGCATCTGCTGGGGTAAGAAACGGGCGAAGTCTTGCATGTTTTTAAGATGGAAAAATGATACTTAAGGTGACAAACACGATTTTCAAGTGATAAATGTTGGTCCAGTTTGATCCCGAGACTAGTGATGGACCTAAAAAACCTAAAATATTGTGTGTGTGTTTGTCATGTTTGGAGTGACAAACATGGCGGAGGAGGGGTGTGCTGCGTGCTTCGGTCACCTCGCTTTCTGATTGGCTACACATCACTTTCAACAGGCAGCGTGTTTGTTCTTCCTCAACATCGGATAAAAACAACCCCACACGTTGAATTTCCTGGATTCAGACTGAAAATCCTCATTATTTATAGTTTACACTGTAAAAAGTCACACAGAACCCGTGGTTAAAATAATCATAAACAGAATAAATACAGCTGGTTTCAGGAGAAATAAGGGGCGTGATATCTCGGGATATTCTTGAAAAATCTTACTTTCCATGTTTTTGTTTCAGAAAATAGTACTTTTTACTTTCACCACCACATCCGTCGACATTTTCCTCAACGTTTGGATTCGACAAATAGATCATTTTTAATAGTTTTTAATGTTAAAAGCAACATTTCAAAACCACTTTTAAAGGTTCCAGTAAAATAAAATGTCTTTACAACCAGCTCTACAGTGAGACAGTTTAATATAACTTAACAAACAACTTTGTGGTACAAAAAACAAACCAGCCAAAAAAAAAATACAAAAAACTAAAACTAAATAAAAGCTGATAAATTCAACTATTTTCCCCTTCATTTTCTTTCTTTTTAAAGACATTCTTGATGCTGTCTGAGGAGCTCAGCACTAAAACGTAATAATCATTATTGTGTTTATAAAAACCCACTAAAGGTAAACTTACAGGTGAATCTGTTCACGCTACCACGAATGACCAATGGGAACAAACAAAACCGCTCTGTGGTGCAGAACGCTCAGCAGCAGTGTTGCGGCATTAACAGCCTTCAGAATAAAGGCTTCTTTTATTGTATTTGTTTGGAGTTATTTCCTAACATCTGGAACGTTTGGGTGTGTTTTCTGATTATTTCAATCAAACGATGTTTCTCTTGGTGGCTGTTTTGGATTTTCTGCTTAATATAAATGTGTTTTTAATTCACCATAAAGAATTAGTGGTTTAAACTGTTGTTTTCTTCTAATTGTTTTCTTCTTCTGAATGAAGCAAGCATGTTTGTGCGATGGCCTTTGTCACAGCGTACGGGTCACAGTTGGCCGCTGGCCGCCGATCCTCAAAGTAACCCTTCCCATCCTTTCCCACCTGCCGAGGGATGCGGATGCTGGCTCCTCGGTTAGCCACGCCGGCGGAGAAATCATGGATGTTGGCGGTTTCGTGCAGACCTGTGAGGCGTCTTGCGTTATCTGATCCGCCACGAGGATCGTACTGAGAAATGTGTTCTTTGTGTTTTTTGCTCAGTTTCTCAATGGCCTTCTCAATGTATCTGCACCAGGAAACAGGAAACAGCTTGTGTTATTATTTTTCAGAGAGGCTTTGGAGTTTTTATGAAATGGGAACAGGAAAAGTGCAAACAAATGCATCAAGGTGCTGCTTTTCCAACCCTCTGACCGGAGGGATGTTCTGGAAGGATGAACGTCTACTCACTGCAGTCCTTGGTCTTCCCTCATCTGCTTGGTGCTGACGTTGGTGTGGCAGCCAGCACCATTCCAGTTGCCTGCCATTGGCTTAGGGTCCAATGTGGCTACCACACCAAAGTCTTCACACACACGATGTAGCAGGAAACGTGAGACCCACAGATGGTCGCCCATCTCGATCCCCTCACAGGGACCGACCTGGAACTCCCACTGCAGAGACACGAAGGCAAACGTAAGAGGAGGAAGACCAGTTTGACCGTCTCCACCGTGCAGGAATCCAACTACCTGAGATGGCATGACTTCAGCGTTGGTGCCGTAGATTTTCACCCCGGCGTAAAGGCAGGCCTTGTAATGGCACTCTACAATGTCCCGCCCATAGGCGCAGTTCGCTCCCACGCTGCAGTAATAAGGGCCTGGGTGGAGGTTTAAACAGTAAGTCACGACAAACCTCAGCACAGGGGATTATGCTAAGCTACGTTTTACAAATGCTCATCATAAAGTATTTGTTTTCAACAGAGAACAACAAACTATTCAACTCTTTAGATAAGTTCAGGAACAAAAACATTTATTTTGGTTTCTAATTTGACTTACGAGATCTTCGTAACTACCTCTACCTTTCTTACAGGATTAGTACTAGGGATGAGCCGGATACTCGTTTCAGACGAGTATCCGGTACGGATAAAGCATTTTTGACGAGTACGAGCATGAAAAGAGTAAAACTCGTAAATATCTGTAATCGTGCTGAAGGAAAATCCTCATTGGGTAACTGACTGTCTTCACGCTCTGTGATTGGCCGGGTGGGCGGGGGCCCTCACGGTCTCTGTCGCTGCCTGCTGTAGACACAACAGAGCAGTGATGGGAATAACGCCGTTTAAAATAACTTCGTTACTAAAAAAAACTATGTTTTTCAGTAATGAGCAATCTAATTAATTACCGTCTTCTTTAAACAAAACGTGGTTTCTGTTACTGATAAGGAAATGCATGCGTTAAGCAGCGCGGTGTGTTGAAGCTGTCATCAGCTGATCAGGAGCTAAAGAGGCAGATGTTTTCATCCAAGAGCATCACGGCCGTGAAGAACGAGGAAGACGTGATGAATATCTACGGCTGCAGGTGTGGATCTGCAGCCGTGACCTTCTTAGCGTGACAGCGGGACGTCCCGAAGGTCCGCTCACCTGTTCACCGCTCAGACGTCCTGATCTTCTACCTTCCTAGATCATCCAGCTGTAACCTGTTTCTGATCATGTCTTTAGTCCCGCTGTAACACTGATGCATCAGTCTCAGACGTCATGGAGCTCAGGTGTTATTAGGACTACCTGTGTGTGTTCACCACCCAGCTTCAGCTCTTCTGTGGTTGGGTCTGACCCAAGTTAGTAAATGTAAGTCCTCCATCAGGCTTGTGCCTCTTCTAGTGTCATTTTAAAGGTTTTATTTATTTATTTAACCGTTACTAGATTAGCAGCAACAGAAATGCTGCTAAAAACACACAATTATGTGAAGCTGGAAAAATTAAAATACTGTACAAAATTACATTCATTTCTGTAATTTAACTAGACTGGGAGACCATTTAAAGGCTCAGGAACCTTTACAGGTGTTTCTATTTGTAATTTTAAATGTTAGCTGATTGGGGTCTTGTGAAATATCACACAGTGACCTTTTAATAGTGTAGATTAGTGTAATGTTCCTGTTAGTAGTTACTCCTGTTAAGTGCTTATTTATTTAAATTATTCAGGTTTATAAAAAACATTTGGACATACATTTTATCATGTTCCAGTCATTAGTCATTTATATTTCACTATTGTATTACTTTATAGTAAATTAAATTCAATTAACCAATTTTTCTTGCATTCTTTAATGAAAAAGAAACTAAGTAGTTACTTTACTTGGTAATTAGTTACTTTTATAATCTCGTAACTTGGTAAGTAACTGAGTTACTTTTTTGACAAAGTAATTAGTAACTATTACTAATTACTTTTTAAAAGTAACATTCCCAACACTGGTTCTGAGTACTCGTCGATACCAATTACTGATACCGATACTTCTACCATACAAAAAATCCAATTTTATTTTCTTCTCTGCTTTCAACAGGAAAAGACTATGAGGTGGATAAAAAAATAAAATATATTAATAGAAATGATCACTAAACTAAAATATTAGATAAACAGAAATGACAAGTTACAGTGAAGCCACTTTCAAGCAGCTGCATTGCCTGGCATCGGTTAACTTTTACCGGTACCGATACTGGTACTGGATGCACCAATATCAATACCGACACTGGTATTGGTTTTGCCATCGGTGCATCCCTAATTCACACTCTTCTGGTGACACTCTGACTGAGGTCAGGCAAGTCAGAAGGAAGCGTCGTTTCAAAGGACACAACAGCAGAATGACCAGCAAACCGGCAACCCTCCAATAAGAGGACAACTCTCCTGAGTTACTGCTGCCCTCTATGGGGGAATATAAGTACTGCATGTGGACATGATGAAAACGTTTAAATGCGTTTCTTTGTTTTTGAGTGTACATCATAAACAGACTTTCTTGCCAAAAGGGAAATACATAAAAAGGTCAACATTTACCGCTAGAAAACAAATCCTACATATAATAAAATTCTACTTATTTCAAACCAACATGAATGATTTTTTGGGGGTTTGTAAATTTTTGCCAGCTTCAGTAAATTAGAGGGCCAGAGATAACTCTGCTGTTTATGCTCTGCAGCAGAACCAGATGCTAAATAGGAATTTCATTTTATTATGTTTATAATAAACTATTACCTACAGAAAATGAAATGTGAATTACCTCTGACTCACCTTGAGGTAATGGGAATCCGTTCGCCGGCCAGCCGAATGGATGTCCATCTGTTCCCAGGAGTGTGTATTCCTGCTCCATACCAAACCACAGGCTGTGCTCTTTGGCCTTCTCCATCACCCTGTTACAGCTGTTACGGTGGTTTGTTTCTGAAGAGCAGACACAAAATCCAGCTCAGCTCAAATCCCCCTCACCCAGACCTCAAACCCAAATGGAGCAGAAACCTACCAGCAGGTAGGCGGTTGTATTTCAGGACCTCACAGAGGACCAGCTTGTTCGGGTCGAGGGTGAACGGATCCCTGAACATGCACACAGGAACCAGGTACATGTCACTGTTGGAGCCTTCGGCCTGGTAGGTGCTCGATCCATCAAAGTTCCACTCCGGAATATCTGTGAGTTAAAGGAACCCGCAGATCAGTCAGAACAGAACTGGATCTGCGTCGCAGCTTCAGAGGAGCACAGATCCTGGTCCTGTTGCTGATAGCAGGCTGACATTTAGTTTCAACACAAAGAAACAACCGTAAAGGGGTTCTAGAATTAAAAACAACAAAGAACGTTGGAGCACATGTGTAACACTGCAGGATGTCCTGGGGATATCCAGACTTTGAAAAAATGCCAGATAGATCAGAAGAAGATGTCTATGAAGTTATCAGGATGGTGAACAAGGCGGTACAGAGGTACTAGCTTCAGGCAGCATCATAGAGCCATCGGGGTCAACCGGTCAATCAGCACACAGCTCATTCATTATTTAGGTCTTTATTATGTGGTTGTGTTTGACCATTCGTCAGGATCAAAAAGATTCATGTGTTACATAGAGGCCAAAAGGATTATAAAAAAATGCCCTCTGCTCTCTTTAAACTTGATTTTGTCCAAATGAGACGTATTGTATGGTGTGACATTAGGGTCAAATGTCTGCTTCTCAATGGCCAGCACCAGCTGCTCAGTTATCAGTGCTGGCCAATCATTAATCAGATCAGTTTCTAGTTTTAGAGTAGATAAAGTCTCCTGCTACAAGGACGTGTCCACCGATGGATGTACAATATATTTAATTTTGGTCCTAATATTGAGCCTTATTTTACAGTTTGAAACTAAAGATTTGTTTCCAATGGTTCACCTTAGCTCTCACTGATTCTCCGAGAGACCTGCTTCAGTTTGTACTTTTTATTTATTTATTTATTATTAGCTTTCCTGAAACCTCTGAAAACCATAATAGATTCTAAGTTAGTAACCAACCAACCATCTCTGAATTTAACACATCAATTTTTATTTAAGGTGGAACAAAGCTAAATAACACTTAAACTTATTGTCCTTCGACTAAATTGTTTGTAAAAAATTAATTTAATCTAGTTTTTCTTTTTTTTTAATTCTTTAGGTTTATTAGGACATTTGCAATTTCGGTTTAAAAAACTCAGCATATGCATATAAACACACGAAGAGGGTTTCTTTTACCATCTATGCTCCGTGGTTCTGTATCCAGAGTTCTGGTCTTGTTCCGGAGCCCCTCTCCGGTGCCGTCGACCCAGATGTATGTGACCTGGCACTTGCCCCCCTGAGGCAGGCTCATGTACTGCTGACGGACGGCCTTGTTGAGGCCTGAGCTGATGGATAACGACGCCATGTTCTGTATCCAGAGAAGATCAGACACTTTACATCATCTCGTGTGATTTTTACACACCTTTTCTGCTCAACGTTCACTCCATCTGACCTCAACTCCTACCTCTAGAGAGTAGAACAACCCAGAAACAGAAACCGTTTATGATGCTTCGTGTTTTAATCACATATAAATAAAATAAACAGAAATATAATGTTCATTTAGCAAATATTTGCATCAATGATTAAACTTACTAACAGCTAATGAGGAAAAATAATTCCACAAACTTCTTTTAGTTAATTGACTTTGGTAATGGGTCTGGCATTCTCTTAAACCAGAATTTTGAGGGTTGCATTTTGTCTAAAATTACTGAAAGCAAAACCGTGAGAGGCTGAAAATATAATTACATTTAATTAAGCAGGTAAAACATAAATGTTATTTAATCAATTATTATTATCTCTACATTTTTGTTTACTGTCAAAGTAAACTGGCCAACCCTTAAAAAGCAATGAGAATGTTTTTTCTCTAATAAAAACGACTTAGTTTTTGAGTTCTGTTATCATTTTATTAAGAATTTTTATTTATTTATTCGTTTTTTTTTACATTAAACTCAAAAGAACCTAATAACCAAAAACCAGTAAAGAATGACCAGAAAAACCAACAGCGTTCATGGCTTAATAAACATAAACACATCCTTATAAAGTACAGTTTATAAATGCCAATTTAAAGGCTTTTTTATTATTATTATATTAAATTTTAGAATGAAATAAAGTTTAAAAGTGACTCACGGAGCTACAGAAGCCGTCGGGGCCGTCAGGTCTGAACTGGTTACGATTTGAAGACTGACAAGTTTAAACTGGTTTGTGGTATTTAAGAATGTAAACGATGACATAGACACACGCATCACTGACGTCGTTTGGCATTTGGAAGACCGTAGGAGTGGTTACTGGCATTTTGATTTGTTTCCATCACAAACATTGTGTTGTTTCCTTCTGAACAGACCAGGAAAAACGTGTCGAGCAGTTCAGCCGAGAAACAAAATCAAAGTTTACCCTGAAGCTAATCCTGATCTTAGTCGTATGTTTCACACATATAAATAAATAATAAGTGACTAAAGCGCTGAGGTAAATGATGCTAAAGCCCCGTGAGAGCTGATAAATGAGCACCCACCTGCTGCAGAGGCCTGCTGCTGACCGACTGGCTGCTGTTTGCTGAGTCTTGAAGCTCACTGAACACAATTAGAGCCAGAAGCTGCTTGGATGTTCACTTTCCGTCAGATTAGCTGTGAGGAAAGTAGCAGGCGGGCACAAACTCAACGAGTCAGACAGAAAGCGGATCAGTCACATGGTACAGTGAACAGATAGGCCTTAACAACCAAACTAATGCTCTAAAATAAAAATGTGACTTTTAAAAATGGATTTAAGTTTTATATGAACTAATGCACTTTGACTGCTGAAGCTTACGGTAATAGCCAAATGCCCTTGTTTATTTACCTGTATTATTGTTTCCTATTCACTAAGTGTATGTGCTACCTTGTCGAGTACATTTTCCCACTGCGGGATCAACAAAGTCTATTCTATTCTATTCTGTCCTAAAGTTCTATCAGTGGGACGTCATTTAGGGAACAGGAAGTAGATGGAGGGGTCATAGACTTGCTGGTGAAGGTTTTCAGTCACCCAAGTCATGGTAATCCAAAGGGAATGAAGGCAACCGGGTTCCTTTGGTTTCTTCAAGATGTTTTGCTTCTCATTTGAGGAGCTGTGTCAATTCTGACTGGAATATTTCACTATAACAAGACAATTTTGTATTATATTTAAATTTTCTAAAAAGAACCCATCTTGACTTCGAGTTTCACTGACACGTTTGATTATTTTATATTTTTATAAGTGATTTTTATTGTTTCTCAACCAACACCAACATGTAAAGCTAAATAAATGTCCTTCTCATCTTCTCTCAGAGCATGCTAGCGTGTTGGTAGTACATCTGCTGAAATGAAGGAATGTCTGTAATTAAAAAAAGAAGAAAACACTGATGAATATTTCTCATATCTGAAGAGCAATGGAACCTGAAATTATTTTAAAACTATTTTCTGAACAGGAAACACACCCTGTTTATTTTTAAATGTACCCTTTTTCAGGGTGTGTTCCTATGCTCACTGGGTTCAGATATGGATATGCAGCATCAGCAAAATTGTTATTTGACACCTGAAGACGTTCTGTAGAAAGATCTGACGGTTTATCAAAGTAAAACCAAAAGTGGGCCGACGCTTCATTTGGTATTCAGCTAATTACGAGTCAGAGTCTTTATTCCATTCCATTTTATTTATAAAGCACATTTCTACATGGCCAACCAAAGTGCTGCACAGTAAAAGAGCATAAAAATCAGCACACGGGAAGAAAGTAATAAAAGTAGAACAGTAACTACTATAAAAAAAACAATAAAAATAAAACAGAGACATAGTACAAGGCTAGCTAGGCTGAAGTAAAAGCCAAGGAATAAAAATGAGCCTTCAGGCGTGATTTTAAATGGGGGGGGGGGGGGGGGGGGTTCTCACTGCTACAGGGAGTTGGTTCCAGACACGAGGTGCACAGATTGAAAACGCTCGTTCTCCTCGTGTCCTCACCCGAACACTCGGGACCTGTAACAGGCAGTGGTCTGCTGACCGAAGAATTCGACCAGGTACGTAGGGCTGAACCAGCTGAGTCAAGTACAGAGGCGCATAAAGAGAGAGAGATTTAAAAACAAGAAGTCAAATTTAAAACTGGATGCGGTAGCGCACCGGGAGCCAGTGTAGCTGAGTCAGAACAGGAGTAATGTGCTCCCTCCTTCTGGTGTACGTCAAAAGGCAGACACCAGACGGTTGCAGGTCCTGTTTCGGGTGAGTCACGGACATGCCGTTCATATAAACTGCTGTAGATGTTGGAATTCTTTTTTTTCCCCACCACTTTGAAATGCTGTTATGAGCAGGTACAAGAAAGGTAGAAACAAAAGAAGCAACAATCCAAAGAAAAAAGTAGGTAAACTTCCAGAACTTAAGAACTGCTGGTGGATCACAAGAAATCCTGGAAGAAAAAGGGCTGCGTTTGCGCGCTCGCTCATTCATGTAGCAAGGAGCTGGTCGTTGGTCCAGAGGTGGGTACACCTGGACAGCTCTCCAGGCCTTCACAGGGACACACAGAGACAAAGAATAAGTCACACTTTAGAGTCTCCAATCAACATTTTTGGCCAGTCGGTAAAAAACAGAGACCAAAGAACCCAGAGAAAACCTGTAAAACCCGACAATGCTAACTCCGCACGGAAAGATTGCAGTTAGGATTTAAACCTGTTCAAATGGAAAAAATAAAAATAAAATAAATAAAAAAAAAATAATATATAATTATTATTATAATTATGTGTTGTTGTTGTTGTTATCTTGTAATTATGTGTTTAATATCTCCTAATTACGTGTTTAATATCTCGTAAAACGTGTTTAAAATCTCGTAATTATGTGTTTAATATCTCATAATTAAGTGTTAAATATCTCGTAATAACATCTTAATATCTCGTAATTACATGTTTAATATCTCGTAATTACGTGTTTAATATCTCTTAATAACGGGAAAGGTTGTGACAATAAATTGGTGATTATATTGTGTCGTTCTACTCCAAATGAGCGAAGTTCTTGATGTTTAACTTGGGGGGGAAAAACAGCAACTAAAAGGAGAAAACTCTAGAACAACAACAGTTTTGAGCAATTTCATTGAAACGAGATATTAAACACCCATTATTATGAAAAGCTTTCCTGTTAAAACAACTTATATATGTAGTTATTGCGAGAAGTTTCTCAGGCTTTAATCACGTTATAATAAAACGTTCTCATTATCTTGAGAAACTGCTCCCTTATGTTTTTCCTTGCACTGATGGCAATAGACCCTGTGCACAATAGCTAACGCTTGTTCCGGCTGATGAACTCCGGAGAACCGTGGTACTTCCTGTCCCCTCCACAGTGACGTCAACATGGACAGTGCATGCTGTGAAGTGTGAACTGTACTTTTCCAGACCCCTTGAGAATTTGCCTAAAATTTCAGTCGATGAAATTTATTGTCAAGTCAAAGTCAAAGTCATTTATTGTCAATTCTACTACATGTGCAAGACATACAGAGAAATGAAATTTAGTTTCAGTACACACAATTCAGAGATCAGACATACATGGGCAAGACACATGACAAGAATTGGTGACTGCGGTCATTCGCAACACGAGTCGTGCTACCTTGATAGATGAAAAGGGAATTACATGAGGATAAGTTGGGAGAGGGAAAATAAGGCATACCAGAGTTACTCCCGACAGGGCGTAGCTGTACTATGCAAAAAAAACCCACCTCAAACATATAAGCATGAACTTCAACATCTACAACATGAGACTCCGATAGGAAGGGAAAGGGGGGGGGGGGGGGGGCTGGGAGCCTGTTTATCCAGGGCCAGCAGCCATGTGTAGCACTCAGCCAGCTGTATCCACAGGAGGGAGAGACATCTTGGGAGGAGCATAGAGCACATTTCCTGCAGGTTGATGGCCTCGCTATGCAGAAGTCCACAATCTAAAGGCGGGGGGTAGGACGGGTTTCCACAGCATCTGTCTGCATTCCTTCCTTCGTGGGGGTTGTTGTTATCAGCTTTAAGGCTGCCTTGGTGTCAAAATTGGATAACAAGACTGTGTTTGGGTCAGGCAGAGATAATTTTCCCCTCTGCCTTCAGTCTGTAACTGGTCATTCCAGTCCTTCAGTGAAGCCAATTCGGGTTATTAAAACATCTCCACACCGTCCGGTGACCCTCTCCGAGATGACATCCATTTTGCGCACTAACACCGGTAACGCAGCTAGAACATTGTCCAGCTTACGGTTAACCTCGAGTAACGTCCCAGTCAGTGAGGCATCCGCCCGAACTGTGCTGTCCATGGGTGCGGGTCGCCCTCCAATCGCTCCCGTCTTCCCAATTTTCCGGAAAACCAGATATCCTCCCACTCCAATCAGAAGAAATTCAGTGATCAGGCCAAATATCCACATATCTTCGACGTCCTCAATGGACAGCTGAGAGAGACAGATGACCTGGAGTCAGAGAAATATTCGTCTGCGATCGGCCTGTACCCATAATGGGAGTTGTGACAGCAGTGGAGCCTCTAAATAATGCATTATCTGCTACTAAAGTTCTTCATTTCACCAATAAGTTGGTATGAATCACTAGCACTATTCCCATTAGTTCGGAGCGTCTCAGACGTGCTTTGTTGTTATTATCTGGAGTCCTTTACAGAAGTTTAGTGAAACTAGCCAGCGGTGATTTCAGTGACGTCACGGCCATTATTATGTACACAACTTATGCAAGGCAAACTGCACATTTTTATCATATTCTGACATAAATGGATAACAATTATGTAAGTGATTGAGCACAAACACAAAATCAGAGGCACTGCTTTTCACTTGTTTCCTAGCAGCTATATCACTTCACTTTCATCAGTTTCGGTCGAGGGGGTAAGGAGAAGGTTGATATATATATATATATATATATATATATATATATATATATATATATATATATATATATATATATATATATATATATATATATATATATATATATATATGTGTGTGTGTGTGTGTGTGTGTGTGTGTGTGTGTGTGTATGTATTTGCATATATACACATAAAAACATAAAACCTGGATGCACGCAAGCACACACACACACACATACTTGTATCTGTATCATAGTGAGGACCCTCCATTGACCTCCATTCATTTTTGGGACTCCACTATGCCAAATCCATTGCCTAACCGATGCTGATTTATTCCTAACTCCGACCTTGACTAAAACTTAATTCACACCACATCTCTAAAACCAACTGGTAAGCTTTTGAAAACGTGAGGACCACAAAAATGTCCTTACTTAGAAAAATGTCCTCACATTGTAGGAAAATAGTGAAAATGAGCCTCAGTATGTAGTAAGTACAAGTACACACACACACTCTCTCTCTCTCTCTCTCACACACACACACACACACACACACACACACACACACACACACACACACACACACACACACACACACACACACACACACACACACACACACACACACACACAAATGCCAATCAAAGCAAAATTTTACAATTAAAAATCTTAATTCATCCCTCATTTACCACATATTTTCATTAGCATAATACTAGCTGGAAATAGCTAACATGTTTTTCCTGGGAACCTAGAAATTAGCATTTTTTTTGCACAGGGTCAATACGCTCCCATAACACTGAGCCTAACGTGAGAATTTATAATAAAGATCAGCTTACTGAGAATGAAGTCAGAATTTCTACCCATATAGAACTATTATAGATAGATGCTGTCTGTTTTATTCTTGTAAATTTGTTTCTTTTTGTCATTTTCATCTTAGAAAACTGCCTAAAATAACTAAATATTTAAGATGCAAGTTCCAGTTGCTCAGTTCAAAAGATAATTCCAATAAATCTGACTTTTAAACAACAGTTTTTCCCTCCAGCATGAATTCCTGTTGTATTTGATTTTTGTCTTTATGACAAAACTAATGATCTGAGCGTTCACCTTTACAGTTTTGTTATGCTTTCCTCACAAAGCGTCCACTTTTCCTCAGGTCCCTCCCTCCTCGGTTGGGGCTGTACGGTTGGCTGGCTGCCCTCCACACGCCCCGACACACCTGGGCACTGAGGAACAAACACAGCCGGATTTACAGGAAGCCTTCATGATTCAGGAGGAGGAAACATCACTTGATTCTAACAGAACAAAATGTACAGTTTCCTTGTGGATTCTCGCTGCTTTATCAACCCATCTTTAGTCCTTAAGCCATTGTCAGAGCATTGATGGTTACTGGTCTGTATTTGTATAGCACCTTTTTAGGGTTCTACAACCTCCCAAGGTGCTTCACAACACAACCAGTCATTCACCCATTCATTAGCTTATGAGAAATGTGGGCAAAAAGAGGATAAAAGACTTAAAAAAAACATCTTTAACAAGTGAATCACCTTTAAAGTTGATTTTGTTAGATCGGAAGGTTGCAGGTTCGAGCCCCGCTCAGTCTGTCGCTGACGTTGTGTCCTTGGGCAAGACACTAAACCCATGTTGCCTGCTGGTGGTGGTCGGAGGGACTGGTGGCACCAGTGCTCGGCAGCCTCGCCTCCGTCAGCGTGCCCCAGGGGCAGCTGTGGCTACATTGTAGCTCATCCCCACCAGCGTGTGAATGTGTGTGTGAATGGGCGAATGACTGTGTTGTTAAGCGCCTTGGGGGGTTTCAAGAACTCTAGAAGGCGCTATATCAAATACAGGCCATTTACCATTATAGCAACCTGAGCAGGGTCTGGGTGGGCGTGGCCAGTAACAGCTCATTTGCATTAAAGTGACAGACTAGTCAGGTAAAGCTGCTAACATTGCTTTATGTGAGAGGGATTTAGAGCAAAGAACTTCATAAACATGCTTTACTGGCTAGAAGTCTTATAGCATGTAGTCACAGTAACTCACAAAGTGGAGGGAAAAAGTCTAAATATGAATTATTTGTTTATTTCAAAGGGACAATGCATTTTCATGAACATATGAATTTGGCAGCCCTAATACTTTTCGTCTGCAGTCCCTGGCAGGTTAAAATAATATAAACCTCAAGTTAAGGATGAAAATACGCTTCAAGAATTGCCTACAAAGTTATGAGGTGAATAATAACGGAACAATAATAACCTATTTTCATAATTTTCAAACGTTTTAAGGTTCGAGACTCTTATTGTGAAAGGGGAAGCAAAAACAGCTTCTTGTAATGAAGAAAGTTCCTAATAATTCCGAATAAAAACACCAAAGTTACAATAATATAAAAATACAGAACAAACATGGGACACTTCCTGCATAACCTGTGGAAATATTGAATTTAATTTCTCCAACTCTATGGATTCCTACACAATCGATTATTATTACATCTAATTTAGAAAGTCTTTTCTGCGCATTTCACCATTATTAATGAATATTTCCACTTCTTTCTATTTGCCCAGCATACCGCCTCCCTAGCGTTTCCTCATATTTCTGAAGAGAAAACGGAAACCAAACCGTGTCCTCAGTCTCCAGGTGAGCACTGATCACGTGACACCTGAACAGGTTAACCGACACATCTCCACGTCCGTTCCTGACGCACCTTGAGCGCAGCAGAGGTCCCGCAGCGCGTCTTCTGGGTTTGTCGCTCTGTCTCCGGTGTTGCATCAAGCCGCACACGAGCTCGTGCGCGATCATCACATACAGCAGGAAGATGAGCACAGCGGGATCCATTCATGCTCAGAACCGGCGCGTGCAACTTCTGGCGCACGGATGCGGCATCCTCCCACAGTCTCTCAGAGATGAGGCTCCTCTTCCTCACGGAGGAAGGTCGCGCTGCTGCAGGAGAGAGGGGACCAGAGGATGTTGCCGTAGAGACGCGACCGTTGCTAAGGGCATGATGTCATCATCTCTCCTTCCAGAGGATGAGGAGGCTTTAACTGGATTCCTGAGCTCACATGAAAGCGCCCTCGCGCTCGAACACAGAACCATGAACTGGGCAGGTCTGCAGGAACTCGACTCAAACAGTTTTAAGCATTAGTTTTAATACAGCTATTTGTCATTAATAATGAACGTCTCCTTAAAGCAGTTTTAAACAAAACCAAGTAAAGATCAAACCCACCCAGGAATGTGAAAAACGGCGAGCAGGCACCTGAAAGGCACGGCAGGTTTTTCTGGATTAAGCTGTTCTAGCAAATTTCATTAAAAAAATACACAATTCAAAGGTCCTGCCCCTTTTTAAACCACGCCCACAACACAGGAGACACCAACTATAAAAGCAATGTGTTTTTCACCTTTTTGACCAGTTATTGGAACCATTTTTGCCACAACCCACTAACGTAACGCACCCACGGAACAGCGCTGGGGCCTCCTGACTTCTGACTCCGGTGCTGGTCAGTTCTCCAGACTCTGTCGTCATTGAAAGTTTAAGAGTGAGACACAACTGAGACCTAGATCAGAGATGCAGGACTGGGCTGAAACAGCTCCTATAAGGTCTCTAATGACCTTCTGACTCACAGTGATGCAGGGGACTGTTCTGTTCTGGTCCTGTTGGACCTGACTGCAGCCTTTGACACTGTTGACCATCACCTGCTACTGGAGAGGCTGAGAGACTGGGCAGGCCTATCAGGATCTGCTCTGGAGTGGTTCTCCGCTTATCTCTCTGAGCGCTCCTTTTCTGTGGCCGTCTCCAAGTTTAGGTCCTCCACCACCTCTCTTACCCATGGTGTCCCACAAGGTTCTGTGCTGGGGCCTCTGCTCTTCCTCCTCTATC